ATTTGTACATGTGTGTGTATATTTTCTGTAAAGTGCAATATGAATGAACAGATGAATTATTAGATGAATCTTCTGTTTGGCTGTTCCAAGGAAGTAAGGTTTACTGTCACTCATATAATTCAATTCAGGTTTATTGCCGTGTGTACTTGCGTATATCTGCGCATCTGTTGTAAAAGCTTCAGATACCAACACACATATGCATTCATTCATAGCCAGAATATGAGTCAAGGTGAATCCAGACTTGAAAAGTAACATGTAAACATCTACCTCCCATCTCTAATTTTTTGGTGTTTTGGGACTACGTTTTAAAGAAATGGATTCACATGCATTGAACTCATGTGGTTATATTTCTGTTTTTTTAACTAAAGTGCCTTTCATACCTTAAAAGGGAATATTTTTGTAAAAAAAAAAATTAAACAAAGGCTAAAATGATCTCTTTTTTCCAGCCAAAAATATGTTTAGTCCTCTATTATGGCACAATTTAAAGGCACATTAATTATGTTATTATAGCAGATAGAGTGTTGTCATAAAGCATTGTGCTTTATCACTCAACTGTAGGCCTTTCCATCATTAAGAACACATATGCAATTGAATACGCCCTATCTGACTGCAGAAGTAATTGTTTGACTTGGAAAATATGCTCTGCTGCGTCAAAATTACTGATTATTGTGTCTTTGTTGAGGTGTGTGCTCAAATTACAAACCTGAGATGCAATATTGCTGTTGCTGATCAAAATGAGAGCACTAGAATATTCAACTATATTGGGTTTGTCATGATCAACAGCTTTGACATCATGGTGAGCTAATTATTTCGATATCTGTGACCAAAAAGAGTTAGGTATGAAATTCTTGTGAAATATTTGTTTTGCCCAAAACTGTCAGGAGCCATCTTATCTTGCCACAAGAGGTTGTTAAATATCGGTTCTTTGTATGTGTAAATTTGAGGTCTCATTGTAATGCATGTTGTGATTTCAGAGCAAAGAAAGAGCTGGATATTCTTATAATGAATATTTTTACATTTCCTTCAAAAAAAACCAAAGAACAAAGATTTCAGTTTTGTGTAAATTAAATCACATTGATACCACAGAAATATGAGTATGGAGGACAGTAGTCAATCTATATTTGTCTATCTGAAGTTGTTTTGGTCATTTGAATAAATAAACAATGATGAAAACATGCTGACAATGTTCATACCCACCCTCGTTTTGTTCCAAACCCATTTATCAATGAAACACAAAAATAGCTGGATGAATCGTCTCGGTTACGTATGTAACCCTCGTTCCCCGAATAGAGTATTAAAAAACGAGCCAATGGCATGAAAATGCCATGGGTCGGCGGAATTTGCATTATCTCCGCCCCACCTCGTGAGTATAAAAGGAGGAAGCGGACGCAACCGCAGTATGTCTTCGCTGAGGAGCCGAGACTGAACTCGGGCGTCTACCCAGCGGTACAGCGGAAGTGGCAGGGAGACGTAACGTCTCCGTTCCCTACTCAGGGAACAAGGGTTACATGCGTAACCGAGACGTTACCTTTCGTAGTCACTCCGAGTTACGTCGGATGACGGAGAATGGGGGTCCCCCGTGTAATCACGCCACCTTCTGACCCCTGTCGAACTTACTCACGGACGAGGAGTCCTACTTAACACAGGAATACCAAGGTACACTGGGGAGCATATCCCAGATACCCGTAGGGAGGACTTAAGAATACACATATGGCCCAAGGGGGCTTCATATGGAGTAACACTGGAGTCACCAACCCGTAGTAGTCTTAACTCCAGGGGTGGCAAGGTGGCTTGCCGAGGGAAGACACATGCTCAGAGAGGCTTACAGTGGAGAATACACATGTGGAGATTACTAGCAGGAACCATGCACACGGAGGCACCTAGCCGACGCCCAGGCAACAGACACTGGCGCCAGCATGAACAGTGCTGGAGGACTCAGGGCTTCAACAGAAGGCTCAGCTGAGGAAATATCGCACTTATCCAGTCCGTGGAGTGGAATTGCGAGCAAGCGAAGACACCTGAGCGGGTCCAGTACTGGCCGGTTGAGCGAGTACAAGAGAGGACACAGGCTCCACTCGGAGGTTATAGAATCTCGCGAATGTGTTAGATGTCGCCCAGCCTGCAGCTCTGCAGATGTCTGCTAGCGAGGCGCCATGCGCTAGAGCCCAAGAGGAAGCCACACTCTGGGTGGAGTGGGCCGTCACACCAAGGGGGCATGGTCGACCTTGCTGCTGGTAAGCCAAAGCAATGGTGTCCACTATCCAGTGAGACAGTCACTGCTTTGAGAGAGCCCTTCCCTTCTGGCTCCCACCATACCAGACAAAGAGCTGGTCTGAGGTCCTGAAACACAGCGTTCTGTCTACGTAAGCCCGGAGGGCACGTACTGGACAGAGCAGTGCCAAGGCTGGGTCTGCCTCCTCAAGGGCCAGCGCTTGCAGGTTCCCCAACTGTTCCCGGAAGGGAGTGGTAGGAACCTTGGGCACATATCCGGGCCGGGGTCTCAGGATCACGTGAGAGTAAGCCGGCCCGAACTCCAGGCACGCTTCGTCAATGGAGAATGCGTGCAGGTCCCCTACCCTCTTGATGGAGGCCAGTGCAACCAGGAGCGCTGTCTTCATTGACAGGAACTTAATCTTAACTGATTGCAGAGGCTCAAAGGGAGGCCTCTGCAGGGGACTTAAAACCACTGAGAGGTCCCAAGAGAGTACGAGAGGAGGGCGGGGAGGATTCAGTCTCCTCGCTCCCCTCAGAAACCTGATGATCAGGTCGTGCTTCCCCAAAGACATACCTTCAACTGTTTCATGAAATTCGGCAATAGCAGCCACATAGACTTTCAGGGTGGAGGGAGACAGTCTTCGCTCCAACCCTTCTTCCAGGAAGGAAAGCACGACGCTGATCGAGCATCTCCGGGGGTCTTCTCGGTAAGAAGAGGTTCCACTTCAACGCATAGACGTGTCTACTGGACGACGCTCTAGCGGAAGTGATGGTAGCCGCCACCACAGGTGGCAGGGAACTCAAACCTGCCTCGTCCCATCCCGGAGCTACACATGTAGTCTCCACAGATCGGGACGAGGGTGCCACAGGGTGCCCTGTCTCTGAGAGAGGAGGTCCTTCCTCAGAGGAATTGGCCAGGAAGGTGCTGTCGCAAGGAGCATCAGTTCGGAGAACCAGTTCTTGGTGGGCCAATACGGGGCTACCAACAAGACCTGCTCCTCGTCCTCCTTGATCTTGCACAGAGTACGTGCGAGAAGGCTCACTGGGGGAAACGCATACTTGCCTAGACCCTGCGGCCAGCTGTGCGCCAAGGCGTCTGTGCCAAGCGTGCCCTCGGTCAGAGAATAAAACAGGGCGCAATGGGATGAGTCGTGGGAAACGAACAGATCTGACTGGGCCTCCCCGAACTGGTCCCATATCAGCTGGACCGACTGGGGATGGAGTCGCCATTCGCCAGAGACTGGACGGAACTGCGACAGCTTGTCAGCTGCCAGGTTCTGCTCTCCTGGAATGTAAATAGGCAATTGATATGCATAAGGCGCTGGGGTCCTGTCTAGGAGCCCGCTGCTGCATGTCCATTGCACATGGCTCCCCAACCCGTGGCAGAGGCATCTGTGGAGACAACAACATGCCTGGAAACTCGCTGTAGAGGGACACCGGCCCGTAAAAGGCTGAGGTTCGTCCACGGGAAGAAGGTCTGACGGCAGGTCGGAGTTACTGGAACTCTGAGCGTACCGCGATGCCATGCCCACCTCAGGACTCGATAGCGAAGCCACAGCTGAAGCGGTCTCATATGAAGCAGTCCGAGCGGCAATGCCATGTGCCCCAGGAGCCTCTGAAAAAGTTTCAGTGGGAACGTACTCTTGCCCTCGAACTGTCGAAGACAAGCCAGCAGTGAGTGTGAGCGCTCGCTCGTGAGCTGTGCGGACATGGCGACCGAGTCTATCTCCTGTTCAAACTGTTTTTTCGAGTCATGACTCGAAGGGTCCTAGATAAGACCCTTATTCATCATCTAGTGTCGTTTAAAGCTGCTTTGAAGCGGCACTGAAACTCTCATTTGGACCTTGAACCGTTTGGCTCCCAATGAAGTCCATTATATGGAGAAAATCCTGGAATGTTTTCATTAAAAACCTTAATTTCTTTTCAACTGAAGAAAGAAAGACATGGACATCTTGGATGACATGGGGGTGAGTAAATTATCAGCAAAAGTTTTTTTTTTTTTTTTTTTAAACGAACTACTCCTTTAAACAGTTTCCAATTCTGTAGTTCTATAAACCACTTTGGTCAGTCAGTGGCTGCTATAAAACATGCTATATAAATAAAATGAACTTGAACTTGAACAAGTTTCCCAGACAGAGTTCAAGATAAATCTTTACTTAGCCTACTACTGGAGCTGTTTGCTGTTTCAAATAATTATTACAGCAAGCACAAAAAGCGAGATGGTCCTCACTGCGGAACATGAAATCCATGGGGAGGAGTCGGATCCAGATCCAACTCCTCCCACCTTACATACACCTAAACCTAACCAACTCCGCCCCCTGATCCCTAAACCCACCCCTAATCCCTAAACCCAACCCTAATCCTACCCATCTCCACCCCTTGGATCGTGATCCGACTCCTCCCAGTGGATCTCATGTTCTGCATTGAGGTGCTACTGCAAAAAGCGGCAGCCCTTCTGAATTTGCTCTCTCGTTTTCATTCATTCCATTCACAAGCCCATGAAGGACTGGATTAGGAAAAACACTGCATGTGTTTAGTCTTTATTTTTGGTTAGTTTAATAACTAACTTACAATGTTTGATTCAGACACCAGAGGGCAGTAGTGGGCACAGGTGAAATTAAATATTAGGTAGGAAGTAGGAGGTTGTAGCACCTGGGTGATGGGCACATGTTTTTTTTTACCAGCACCAGAGACATTGCTCAGTTGGAACAAATAAACCAGCCACAAACCCTGAATCCAGCCTGGAATTTGATTTTATTTCTTGCCTGCGTACATCACCTGACAGCACAAACAGCACTACAGCCTCAATAGGTCAAACTGAACGGAATTTGTTCGAAACAGATAGGGGAACAAATCAAAATACGCTTTGTGAAATGACTGTATTGGTAAAGGTAAGTAGGCCTGATGTTAACCACAGAATGAATAACTAAATAATCATCAGATATTGATGTTTTACAGTTCTATCTCTGTTAAACTTACTCAACATTAGTATTTCTGAGAAGTCAACAGAAACACATTCCCTAATATTTTGTCATAATTTCAACTAACCCTTGATAAAGTCTAAAATCTCAATGAGTCTCGTCTGTGTAAACATTTTCATTTCGGATATGTGACTGTAGGGCCATTACTGACCCAACCACAGGGACACACACAATGCCTACAATACCCAGAGAAAGATATTCATCAGCATAAGCTATCATTCATCTCAAAAGAACATGCTTGACTGGCGCAGAACCCCCAAAAGTGTTTTTGAAAAGTTGTCAATGGAGAAAGATACTATAGTTCCAGATGGTGTATTTACGACATCGCCAGCAGGGGGCAATACTAATCTTTAAAAATCCTTTTTCCAATGCGATTTTTCATTATATAGTGATTAAAGTATAATTTTCTCCTTCAGCATTTGATTTAATAATATTATTATTATTAATTATTAAAACAACACTTGATAAACCAGACTTTTTCCTTTTACAAAAGACACTTTATTGCTATTTCAGCCAGCAGTTCACTTATCTATCCTTATAATACAACACTGTTACCTAATGACAAGACATGAAAACAACAATTAAATTTGGTATTATTTAAAAAATAAATAAAAAATCCCCCACAAAGCTTGTGATGAGGTATGACTATGAGAAAGTCAGTCATTTTTCACTTGATAACTTCCTAAAAAAAATTAAACATTAATGAATCTCATCCTCAAACATTCATCAGCTGCAATATAAACAATATTTCCCATTACATCGTCACATGCGGTCTGTACTGTTTGTTTGATGTGCCATTGCTTATACTCACTTATTATGTGGAGAGGCATAAGCACTCCTAGAGAGATTTCTCATCTTTGATGATGTGGTGTGTGTTTTGCGAGGGACCAAACCCAGGTCTCCAGTTTCGAAGTGAGAAAGATTAGATTTCTGTTGGAGTTCACTTGGTCTGGAGCTGAAAGTAAGAATGCGAGTCATTAAATCACATTGCCATAATCAATTCTTCAAACTATATTATGGTTATGTTTTCCATGTCATTGAAGTACATTTTGTACCTTTTCATTTCACAGACTTTTTTAAGATCACTTCTGCAAGCCAATTCAGTAAGAACAGGGCCTTTTCCTAAAGCTGCAGCACTGTCCAGCACAGCCAGCAGCTTTTGCATCATCTGATTTCGTCTTACAATAACCTTCAGTTCAGAGTCTTGCTCTTTAGGGACCTCCTGTAACCAAAGCAGAGTAAGACTACTGTTTATTTGCTTTTCTAAAGCACATAATGACAATGTATCTTTACGTTCACTCTTACTGTTAAGGCCTCTTTTAGCGCTATAGCTGCTTCTTCAAGAACTGTATTAATCTGTCCTCTCAGCGTCCTTTCCTCTTCAAACTCTCTCCTGTGTGTCTTGGCTTCAGCTTTTGTTTGGTTCAGCTCTTCTATAAGTGTTGCATGTTTCTTTCTGTAAGTGGTGGTGACACTTTTAAAATAGAGTATTTCAAGTCATTTATTTAACTCATAAGTAACTTCAGGAGTCTTACCTGAGAGCATCAAGCTCTGTAGATATTGCAGAATGACTGTCCATCAGCTCTTGGTGCTCCAGTTTAAGTTTGGCACATTTTTCAACTTCAGACTGCATTTCCTTGCACTTTTCTGTCAACTGATGGACCACCTTGAGAAAGAGTTATGTTTCATCTGTGCATTAGGATATATCAAATATCCGTTTCAAACAGCAAAGAAAAAAAAATCACTTAAATGCATGAAAGTACCCAGCTAACAAAAAATACACTATGTTCCAGGAATGTTTTGCTAGCATTCTCAATAAATTCTCCTAACATTAAAATTGTCAATTTAAAAAAAAAAAAGTTTTTACATTTTTTTTTTTTTTGATTATGTGAAGGTTTCAGAATGTTCAGAGAAAAAAAATAGAACATCCAACTAAAACGTTTCAAGACAAAACCATTCCATGTATGTTTTGAGTATGTCATTAATCACAAGATAACTTTGAAAAAATTGTTAAGTTAACGTTACTGGAAAAATGTTTGTTTATAGCTTTGAGATAACCTTGCCAGAATGTAATCCAAAGTTCTCAGAACATTCCCTGTTAGCTAGGTATTTTTTGGCTAAAATGGTAACCTTTTGATTAGCAACATTCTTCTTGGTTATTTCATGCAGCAGCGGTTCTGTAACGGCATTCTCAATTTTGAGTTGCCTTTCTCTTGCTCGTAGAGCATCATTCTCCTTCAGCAGCTCCTGGGTCTTATTTGAAAGCAGCTGGAGTTGTGCCGTCACAGAGAGGTTCTCTTGCATGGCCCTCATTGTCGTCTCGGGCATCTTTTGGTCTGACAACCGCCGGAACTCAGCTGCTACAGCAGCAACATGTTGCAGCATTTCTTTCTTTAGCCTGTCACCAATACAATCAAAATGGGTATTTCTGTTTAATGTTTTTCAAAAAATGTTTACACAATTTTTTATTATTCATTTGCCCTCGTAATCTTTAATTAAAATAACTTTCCCTCCCTCTTGCAGAAACTTATTTCTCTTCTCTGATGATACGCTTACTGGCGTGAGGGCGGGGCCTGTCACTCACATGACATCACAGCAATAACAAACCACAGAGTGCGAAGTGATGACATCACTTTGTAGAACAACTCGGAAGCTAGCGGCGCATGGGTTCCCTCGATCGAAAAGCTATGCATTTTCCCATAGACTTTTGGAAAATCACAAAAAATAAGATCTGTGATTATCAAAGAGTTGTGACCCTTACACGTTTTGTCTATCAAGATAATCTATACAAGTTAATCCAAAATGTATACATTTTGAAGAATATAGAAAGTTTTTTAAAACACAAAGCAGACACAATAAAGTTTAATAAACCACAAGCAGGTTATAACTGTGTGTTTTATGTCATAGATCAAAACGTGAAAATATTTAGAGGCTTTGTTCACCACAGACCTTATTTCAGGCGATTTAGCAAAAATCCATAAAAAAATTCCCATAGACTTTAGAGCGAGGTACCCGTAGTGCTAAAATGCTAACTCACTTCCGCGTTTTGGCCTACAGAGTGACGTCGTAACTTCGGCACTCTATGATCAAACAATCCAAACAAGTCCCGCCCTACATTTTTTCTTGTGCGAGAAGGATATGTGTCACAATAGGGAAGAAAAAACTATTACAACTTCTTGTTAATACATTAACTAATATCAACTAATTGTAAAGTATTATGGTAATTTTTTTGAGAGACTATTTATTGCAGAAATGTACACATATTTTTTAAACTATTAATATTATAATTTATTTAGTTCTTTTGTGTCTGTATGTGTGTGTGTGTGTGTGTGTGTGTGTGTGAGAGAGAACTGATAAGATGAAAAATCTCTGCAATATAGTGAGTCCAAAGATTTGAAAGAACCTTAGTGTCTTTTGAATGCAGTACTATACATATATACCAAGCAACAGATCGACTTGTTTACTAAACAAATGCCTCTTTGTAATGCTTTACATTGCAACCATTCAGTGAAAATAGATGATTAGTGTAAGATGAAACAATCTCCTGTTCTATGCTGATGGTTTCAGACATCAAATAATGCACAATATGTATAAATAAGAGTTACTGTTCAACAAGTCGCATTCAATTAACAAGGCACCTCATCTGTGAATGAAGTATGAACATGCTCACCTGTCATTGTCCAGTATAGCTTTTTTCTCCAGATTATAGATTTGTGCTTGATGCTCCTCTTTTTGATTTTGAAGCTGCTGTTCCAACGACCTGTGTTCAGCCATAAGCTTCTCTCTCTGCATAGAAAAGTCCTCCAAAGACGCCAGCTTACCGGCTAAACACAAAAAAGGTAAACATTTTAATTATGGACACTAGCAATCTTGATAGGTAGAAAGGTGCATTTAATAAAACTAGTCAATAATATGATAGTGCCTCACTGTCACATAGCAGTACAGCTAAGACCCAAAACACATTTCTATTTTTTTCTTAGTGTGAAGAACCTTTTCCCAATACAAAGAACCTTTAGAGCAATGGAAAGGTTCCATGGATGTTAAAAGTTCTTCATGGAACCGTCATAAGGAACCTTTATTTTTAAGAATGTATCACACACTTAGTGACAATTTGTAATATATGTTTATATATTTTATTTGAAATTTGTTTTGAATATATGCTAATATGTGACTGTTCAGAAGCTTGTACCAAGCGTCATGTTCTTCGATGTGAATTTTTCCTTAGTTTCCTGAAGTTCATGTCTAAGCATGCTCAATTGTAACTCAAAGGATTCTCTCTCGGCCTCTTGGGCTTGCTGGTGTCTTGATAAAGTCTCAGTCAGATCATTCACTTCATCCTCCTTTTGAGCCAGTGTGCGTTTCATGTAGAGAACTATGTCTTTTTTCCCTTTCTCCACATTATTAATCTTAGAGGATAAGTCCTTTTCTTTAACCTCCAATTCATCACATTTAAGCTGGTATCTGCAATAAAAAAAAGACAAGGTCACGCATATGAGATAGGCTAAGTACTTCCTGTTGAGGGCTATTTGGTTAAGTATATTGTCAGGTTAATTATTAACATTATTCATTATAATCCAAAGTCTACTTCATTTTATTTCCCTCTAAGGCAGAGACATGAGCTAAATGAATTAAACAACTGACCAACTAACTGATTTTTGAAGATTCGATTATAATCTCATATCTTTAAACGTACATCATTCAAGTGGTCAAATCGACAGCATCGTCATTAGGTGAGTGTTCCCATTGATGTATAGGTTTTTACTGGCTAGATGCGTTTTTGTTTATGAGTTGTTGTTTTTCTCAAATCCTGAGGTATTTGAATATCGTGAAAACCTCTAAAAACTCGTGTAACCAAAATAAACAAAAATGGCAGTGGTCGTGATAACTTGCCAGAACTCTCACCTTTCCAATCGCTCCTCCAAATCACGTATTTGAGCCCGATAAAAGTTTTTGTCACTCTCCGTTAATTCTTCGCGTTTTTTCTGCTCAGGCTCAATACCTTCCTTTTTATTTGATAGCGCATCTCCGCGCCCCTTTCCATTCTTTTGGGAGGCATTGCACTTTTTACGTGCTTTAAACTAAACAGTCTGAGAAGTAAAAACTTAAACAAACGCAATTGTTTCTTGTTGCCATGGACGTGAGGTTCAGTTGTTGTGTGTCATGCGCAGAAACGTGCAAAAACTTATAGGCTACATTTTGTGCTTTGTAAGCTTTAAAACCTGACATTGTGGAAAGTATTATACTAATAGGTTTGGACATATAAAAACAACAGTTTCACTTTCATTTCTGATTAAAAGTCGAGTTGTACCACTCCCAATTCTGTCGACAGTCTAATTCAAAATGTTTTATTAGGTTGGCTAGCCTATTTCTGTTCTTTTTTTTTTTTCTTAAAACGAATTTATTACTTAATAATCTTAATTAATTTATGCAGTAATTAATCTTAGCTACTGCACAAATAATAATACCACATCTAAATGAAAATAGGCTACACCATTACAAATGTAACTTATGTATTCAAAACCTTCAAAGTTTGTAAGCATTATCTGTAACGTTAAACATTTTTAAAAGTAAAAGGTCAACATATTTCTTAATATTATTGGCGACTGCATGTGGCATTCTACAGCTAAAATGGTGAAGTTTAGCTATACTGTAATCATTAAAAATGTATAGCAAACTGGCACTTCCTAACATCATCCCTAACAAGTAACTTGCAAAGTAATTTCTGATTAATTTGGTTCGGGAGTAGTAGAGAGAAAAGCCCACCCGAAATTGAGAATTGATTGGTTGGGTCCTTACAAGATAGCAAAAATCATTTGGCCCAGATCTGGCCCAGACACGTCGTAAATTCTCTTGGCACAACGGGCCAATACCGGCACAGTTCGGTTTTCTCATCTGGACCAGAACTGGGCCAGCTCTGGATTCCTTCATGGTGATTTGGCCCAAATGGGCCAGATCTGGTCCAGCTCTGTTTTGGATGGTCCAGAATCATGCCAGATCAAGGCCAGCTCATTTTGTAGTCCGTACACACATGCACACACACTCGCTCTCTCTCTAAGAAGTACACATACCTAGAATTTCAAGAATCTTCTCGCATGATCTAATTTCTTATCTTATGCCACTGATATTTTCTGCTCTTAGGTTTTAACAAGAAATGATTTGGCAATAAAAAGTTGAAAGTACTGCTTTAGAGGTTTACACTAAAATGTACACTTTACACAAAAACACCACCTGTGTTAGCACTAATTCACAGCCACTAGTTCACAATAATCATGCATTAAAATTGCATAGTAAATTTGACATATTCAAGGACTTTCTTTCCCTAATTCCCTGCAGTTAGTTCACTCAAAAATTAAAGTTCGGTCTGTAATTACTCGGCCTCATGTTGTTCCAACCCCGTAAGACTTTTGTTCATATTCGGAACACAAATGAAGATATTTTTGATTAAATCTGAGAGCTGGATCACTCCCACATAGGCTTCTAAGGGACTAAATCTTGTCGGCCCCAAAAAGTTTTTAAAGACATTGTTAAAATAGTCAAGTTTTAGTCCCTTAGAAGCCTATGGAGAAGTGATCCAGCTTTCCGATTTCATCAAAAATATCTTAATTTGTGTTCCGAAGATGAACGAAAGTCTTACGGGGTTGGGACAACATGAGGGAGAGTCATTACTGACAGAACTTTCATTTAACTATCCCTTTAAGGCCGTTGTAAGGTCAATGTTTGGCAGCCCTTGAAGTTAAAATATGAAACTTGAGCACTGAAATTGCTGATGTGTTTAAATTGGTTAAGTGTTTAAAGTTATTTGTCTTTTTTTATTTATTAGATTTTGGATCGATCAAATATAAAGAAATGTTCCTTGATGGGAAACATGTTTTATTAAATCCATATCTTTTTGTTTGTTTAAAATTAATAATTTCTATAAACATTTATTTTTAAAAATGATACATCATTGTACATCATATTTCTTAAATGAGAAGTTTTGTTTCAATCAAATCTATAGATTATTGTTTAGATAAAAAAAGGATTTAAATTAATTGACTTTCTTCAACATGGAAAATTTACCTTGTAAATTTACTTGGTAACTTTGTACCAAGTTTAAAAAAAATAAAAAACTTTTCATAGACATAGAAAATATTGGTTAGGGTAAGTTATTTATTTTTCATTGGTTAAAGTTATAAAATATGGATGTGAACCATAACCTAAAAATTTTAATTGGATGAATGAAAATATTTTTTCAGTGATGTATTTGCTCCCTTTAGCCTTGAAAGCACAAAATTCCATTCTATTTTTATGTGGATGATCTCGCTTTAAAAAATGGGGATAATTATGACATACACTCTCTGTTGAACTGCCTTGTGGACGTAAGATGCTGGCTGGCAGCTAATTGTCTAACACTGACTGTAGTGTCTGGACCACCAGATTCTATTATACAGATAAATAACCATCTGGGTCATTTAATTGTGTCTCATGCTTATGCCAAAATTTTGGGAGTGATTTTTTAATGGCCTTAGATTTGACAAACCAATCATTTCAGAAGTGAAGAGTGAACCAGTGAAGCGAAGAGTGAAGAGTGTTCCCTCTTTCTAGTTCCGGTAAGAAGCCTGGCGGCAGCATTTGTAGGCAAGATAAAGAGGACTTAGCCACATCAGGGTACAGTGAGTTTTTAAAGTTTTTACTCGCTTTTAATTTTGCAATGGATCTGAGATGATAAAAACTACTCTTCACTACTATATATATATATATATATATATATATATATATATATACGTGTGTGTGTGTGTGTGTGTGTGTGTGTGCGTGTGTGTGTGTGTGTGTGTGTGTGTGTGTGTGTGTGTGTGTGTGTGTGTGTGTGTGTGTTTATTTATTTATTTATTTATTTTTACAGTGAGCAAAGGCGCCAACTGTCCATTTGCGCCATCTTGTGGCGGTTTATAAATAATAGAGTATTTTTTTCCTGTATCAAATTTTTCTGAAAGTTATCATTTTATGGATATTGTTTTTAATTTTGTTTTTAGAAAATTTTTTAGTAGCCTACATTTTAAAATAAAGGAAAAGGACTGTATTTTTGTTGTTGTTGTTATTTTCCGTAAAATGTGATTTTTATTTATTTATTTTTTTTACAGCGTAATTATACCTGCCCCTAAAAATACTCGAATGCCAACCGCAGCAAAAGTGCAAATGCAACATAAACATGAACGCCTAATATAAATATTTACTTTAACTTTTTCTTTAAATCTCCATACATTTCTGGGGTTGGTGCAGCTTGATATTCCCATAGTAAAAAAGGTATATGACCGTTTTGGGTATTAAGTTTTTTTTTGTTTTTTTTGTTTTTGTTTTTTGGGGGGCATTTTTAAAACCTCACCGTTAAATTCACTTTATAATGTTTCACAAAAAAATGAAATAGTTTGACTCACAAATGTGTATGTGCAAGCCGTGCCAGTCAGAGACTGGCTCAAGGTTTAAAACAATGACCTGATGACACCATGGGCATCTGCGAACTTCAAGTTGGTTTTACTGAACTGTCTAAACAAAAGCTTGTTGCGTAAAATAACAGACATTTTGTGAGTATGATGTTGCCAAGTTGGAGGGGAGGGGTGAGAAAGATACAGAAAGAAACGACGTCATCATGAGACACTGCAACTTTGTAGCAAAGAATAGACGCGCTGCGTGTCAATATATTGTGACAATGATGGACTTCCTCTCACAGCTGGACCAAATCTCACGACCCTGTTAGTAGTGGTTAATGTTAGTTGAAGTTACTTTTAAAACATGGAATTAAAGAGAAATTAATAGCAAATAGAGTTCGAATTGAGCCCCGAGGTGAGATATTTGAAATGTTGTTAAATTATTTAAATGTTGTTGAACTTCTAATTTTGGAACTAATCGTAGAATTTGCATTCTGTGTAGCCTACAGACAGACTAGCCTACTGTGTATTATCGCATCATCATGATAGAGTAAAAGTTACAGTGTCTGCAAATATTTGTGTTTATAATGATAGCATGGTGCTTGTTTGGATGTCTGAGAGGAGAGAGGTTTTTCGTTTTGGGGAGGGGAGTCAGTCTGCTGCTCATTATGTAACTGTTGTTTGGAAATGTGTTTTCGCGCTCCGCTTTTTGAGTCTGACATTCCTACAGTTCCATTGGGATTCCGTTATAAACATCACAGCGAGAACAGATCACAGAAGAAAACAGAGCGACTGACAGAGTGCGTAGAGTACGTGTTCATCCTCATCCTGTCGTGTCGACCCTCGTATAAGCTTGAACAAGTGAAGTGTCTGATCTATAGGAGGATGAGTTTGGTGAGAATCTCTTTCTGGTAGGAGGTTATTTTATGGTTGTTAAAAAGTTGTTTATGGGACTGCTTTATAATGTAAACGAATTCAATTATTGGAGTAAGATGTCTTCTGACATGTTTAATTATGTGTTTTCATATAGGCCTACTGCAAAAATGTTTAATTTCCATAATGATTTCAAAGAGGAAAACAGCAAAACACAGTATGTGCTCATCCTCTTTCTATCATATCGCATGTTGTATTTGTGTCTGAGGCTAAAAAGTGCTTTATAAGTGCTTTATTCTTTGAGAATCCAGGAGGCTATTTTATAGTTGCTGTACGGTTGTTTTGAAGACAGAGTAAGGTGTTAAAGTGTCTTCTAATACGTTTATGCCGCATGTTCATACCATAACGAAACTATAAATACAAATCAGTTTGTCTTATTGCCAACTCTCTCTGTGAACACCATGTGTTGAGGAATGTTTTGTTTTATGTGCTGTTTTTTCAGCCCAGAAGGGTTACATTTTTGATTGTGGAAACCGTGAGAGGGAACTGGTGTTGTAATCTCTTAGATATTCAGGCTGTCTGGCATGGAGGCTTTTTGTTTGGGAATGGACAGTGCAGGCTGTTACTGGGTGTTGTCAGTTGTGTCTGTGGTCCAACAGTTAATATTCTGAACTGTGTAACGGCATCTTTATAATACACAAAGGATATGGTGGTCATGGGAAAGAGCAGCATGGTTTTTTTTTTTTTTTTTTTTTTTTTTTTTTTTTTTTTTTTTTTTTTTGAGAATTTCCTGCCTTGGAGCCACTTTACTATAATGTGAAGTTGCATTACAAAAAAAGTTACTTTGATATAATTGACCACACTGGTATAATTTGATAATTTTCCTGCATTTACAGGCCTTCGTGTCCCATGGAAAATGGTGGTGTTTATGTAAAGGTAGGCTACTGCATGATACATGTAAAATATTAACTTTGACAAATTTCAGGGTGACATTGTTAAGGGAAATGGCTTTCAATCATGCAGATAATTTAAATGGATTTTCCACCCAAAAATGAAAATTCTGCCATTATTTAGTCACCCACTTGTTGTTTTAAACCTGTATGACTTTCTTTTTTCTGTGGAACACAAAATAAGATATTTTGAAGAACGATGGTAACTAAACATTTTTGGATCACATTGACTTCCATTGTATTGTTTGTCCATACAATGGAAGGCAATGGTAAACAAACTGTTTCGTGTTGCCCAAAGAAGAAAGCAAGCCATACAGGTTTGTAATTTGACAGTAAATTATGACAGAATTTTCAATAGCTATTAACTTTATTTTGCTTTTCTGATGACATTCCCTCACAAAGCGGTAGTCACAAAGGAATCTGAGAGCTTAGCCATAAACTCTAATTCAATTAGGATGGGTGACACAAAGGGGCTTAGACTGCTGCCCATGTCTTCAGAATGGTTGAGGACAAACAGGGTTACTGTAGGCAACCAACTGTGCCAAATGTTGCTGTTTTGGGCAACTGAAAATGGGCTCACATTTAAATAGAGATGCTTCACATTATACCACTGGTAGTTCTGTTGTAGCCTCTAGTACAAAGGCAGTCTTTTCACCATTACTGTCGTTTGTCTTTTGCACAATGTTTATTTAACATTCAGGACATTTTCCCATCATTTAAGCTAACCTATATCAGTTTTATTGCTCCAGATGAACATAAATATATTGGATAAAAGAGCTAGTTGATGCTTTTAAGACTCCACACTGTTGTCAGTGATAATATATTGGCCTATTACAAACTGTAAACACAGATATGTCACCTTAACAATCGACCAGAACTGCTTTAAATGTGATCCACCTGAGACAGCGCTTTCATAGGAGGTTGCTAATGATTTCTTTATTCGTATGGTTTTTCATCATTGCTCTATTTCCTTAAGTTTTCTAAAGAGAAATGCCAACTGAATTCCCCATCAGACAAACTAAAGCAGGAGTTGGAGAAAGAGCTGAAATTGAGCAGCAGTAACTTATCAAGTCATGGCTGGTACCATGGTCGTATACCTTGGGAGGTGAGATTTTAATTGTAAAAAGAAAATGTATTGTTGGATGTATCCTTACATTTTTGCAAGTTCTTGCTTTGACTAGTATTTCATCTCAAATTACACGGTGATATAATAAGCCATATGACTTAATATTTGTTTCTCGCAGGTGTCTGAGTCTCTTGTGCAACAGAACGGGGACTTTCTAGTCCGTGACTCCCTCAGTAGCATTGGGGACTATGTCTTAACCTGCCAGTGGAACCAGAATGTTCTTCATTTCCTCATCAGCAAGGTTCTGATCAGATCTTATGACGCATCTACACGAGCGCAGTATATTCTGGAGGAGGAAACCTTTGATTCTGTGCTGACGTTGGTTCATTCCTATGTTGGAAGTAAAAGGCCTCTGACAAAGAAGAGTGGTGCGTTGATTTACTCACCAGTTTACAGGACACTTCCACTAAGACACCTAGAAACCATGTTTGGGCTACCAAGTGTGGAGAGCAGCCCAGTGAACTCACCAACCAGGCAGAAAGGAAGCCAGAAGAAGAGGGAGAGCATAACTGTGACGGAGGCTTTGGAAATTGAGCTGATAAGACCACAAAGGTGAGTTGTATGATTGTATTTGAGCTGGAGTGTTTCATTTCTCAGCCTTAATAGGATACTTATCCCCCAAAAATGAAATGAATCCCATTTACTCACCCTTATGCCGCCCGGATGTATATAACTTTCTTTCTTCAGATGAACACAGATTTTTTAAATGCTCTCTGTGAGTCCAGATAATGCAAGTATGAGACTTATAAACTAATGCTTCCAGCTAACTGTCAAATGGGTCGAGTCAAGCGGGAAGTGCTGGTGAAGCATGTGTGAGTTTTACAATCATGTGACAGTTGGCCAGAAGTAATAGCTTATTGTTAAATAATAGTATTTTCCTTACACACACCTATCGTTTCACTTCGATTACTGTCGTGTTGTCTTTGTTTGGTTTTTGAAGCTTCAAATTTGGAGGTCCAGTACACTTGCATTATATGGACTCGCAGAGATTATTTACATTTCTAAAAATCCTGTTATTCCCCCATTGGTCAGTTAAACACATAGCACACCTATTTAAAGGTTTATAAAATGAAAATTCTGGCCTCATTTACTCATCCTCTTGTCACTCCAAATTGTAAGACTTTTGTTCATCTTTTTGACACAAAATAAGATATTTACCAAATCTGAGAGATTTCTGCCCTCCATTGACAGTTATGCAACAGTCACAATCTCTGTGAAAGGTCACAGGAGTATTTAATTAAACAAATCAAGTGACATATCTTTTACGAACTGCTCTGAGACAAAAAGGTTGAGATCCAAATGCAGCTTTTGAGTAATCCCTAATCCAAACACAGGCAAGGGGTCAAGCACAGGAAGCCAGTCCAAACAAGCAGGAGAGGGGACACAGGCAAAGGGGGAATCTAAGTACCCAGCAAACACAGAACGTTCCCCTAACGTTCCCGAATGGTCCCATGATGTTATTTTGGGGGGGGAACCAAACAAGAACGTTATAGGAACGTTCCATGTAGGTTATTTTTAGGTTCCATTTTTATAACGTAAGGAGAACGTTCCCCTAACCTTAAGGGAAAGTTCTGGAAACCAAAAACTAACGTTCCCAGAACCTAAATTTGTTTGCTGGGTAACAGGCAAACATTCAAGAACCAAGAGACATGAAACCAGAGAGAATGCTCAGAGTAACATTAGGCAAGACTTCACAGGGAATGAATGAGAAAACCAGGCTTATATTCACCTTATTCCTACGCCCCATGACGCTTTGCGCGAATTATGAGTGTAACTTCCGTTAAGCTGTAAATAATCAGTGAAAGGTTCTCTCTATGAACGCAATACGCTAAAAAAGTGTCAAAATGAGATACCATTAAAGCTATGGTATACGATGTTAAAAATCGGTCGAGACGGTAGGGAAGTTTTAAAAAACTCATCCCGCCCCTCCACACACACCCCCCTCCCCTCTGTGCTACCTGATCCCTGACGTATGTCACGTTTGAGTTCACGTCAACGCAAGATTAGCAACACATGAAATGTTCTAAACTCCCCACCACCATTATAATACTACTAGTATTTCTAAGGTTTTCAGTAATTGTTATTGCAGCACGCAGCGCATCTTGTTCAAATTCCGATCGGCTCGAACAGAAACTCGAACAAGAAATATAATTACTTTGAACCGCGATCGGCGATGCTAAACGGCTAACATTCCAATGCCGACCGGCAGCATGAGCAAGTTGTCAAACTGACAAAAAGCCACGGAACACGTCACACCATAAAAGAATAAATAAATGTTTACCTGCTCAACAAAAAGTCATCCGTGTCAGCGTCGTTTTCAGCCCCAGATCTCCCTGAAGCTTTCTCCAACGGTCAATGAAGGTCGCTACATTTATCCTACTTAAGAGTCCGGCATTCTTCACATT